TTTGCGGAGAGGGGCGTCGCCCTCATCAGCGCGTTCTGCGGCGCCATCACGCGCGACGAGGAACAGCGACAGCACCTTCTGCAGGTCGTGGAGCGACACCGGGCGTTGCACCCGTGCGCGAAGTAGGCATGGGATGGCACGCACGGCGGATTTCGTTTTTTTTTGCGGTCTAACAGTGTCACTAGTGTTGATGGACATTATAGACAGATGGACAGGTAGACAGATGGACCAGTTAACATGGACCAACAATCTCACCAGTGTTGAAGGATAACCACGGTTGCCTTTTTTGCAATACATGCGTTCCTGTCTTCCGTCTTTGAATTATTGCAAGTGCGAACTGAGCAAAACAAAATCCTTACCGTACGGGAGAAACCGTACTACCATTCAGCCCCGTAACATTCTTTCCATAGGGGAAACTTTGGTCGCTCTGCGGGACGGGATAAAATTATCCGATGGGAATAAAATTTTGCACACATCCTTGTGTCATAGTATCGACAAGATTTCCGACCCGGCCCGACGAATCCGACAAACTTTTCCAAAATGGACCACCCTAACGACTATTCATGTCGCAAATGTTCGCAAAAACGTTCGGCAACAGTTTTTGTGATTTTTTTTCCTTGTCATTGAAAAATGTTCAAAATTCCCTTGCGACAAGAAAAGTACAGGCGTAGGTCAGGCAACTGTTTGGCGAACACGTGAACGCTTTGTTTCGACCTTCGTCAACAGTTGGAATTGTTCGCCCTTCATTGCAATAAGGGCTTTAGTAATCCTGTATTTATGAATTAAAGATTAGGCTCAGCAACAGGTGGATTTTTTTTTTTAAATGAGACCTCATAGCTATCAATTTCGGTACAACGCATTGTAAAATCCGTGTTCTACATGCTTTTTATACGTTAAAAAAAAGAAAAAACGAATGTGCTAGAAAAATAAGTAAAGGCATTTTGGAAATCAGTGTCAAAAAATACATTCTGGGACACATAAAGCCATCAGTGATGAAAATTTGCTATTTTTTTTGGAGATCCAGCGACACCCTGTACACTTGTAAAACTTGGAAACCAAGGTCAATGTCATGGCTATAGCCTGATGATTAGATTATCGTACTTCCCTTAACAATGTTTCATGCCATTGCTCAACATCATAAAGAACACCCTGAAAAAGAAGTGAGTAGGTAAAATTAAGGCCAGGCCACTTTTGCTTTGTCGGGAACCAACTCCAAATTAATATGGAAACTATCTGGAGTTCTCTTTGCACACGTGAGGCACAGCAGGCACCTGGTGTGGCTCACACTTGGACCGACCCTCTCCTTGGACGATTCGTCATAAGCGGCAGCGTTCGCAACACAGAACACTTGAGGACCGTGTCCGGAGCATTCAGCAGGATCTTTGTGACGGTTCAGCACTATCATAGGAGGTTGCGTGGAGGAGGTGGGCAAAGGAAACTGCTCTGTCCGTCTTTGGACTAACTGAAGTCTCACCTTGACTCTTGGATGGCAGCAGCACTTTCCCGTGCGGCGTTTTAGCGCGGCGAGGTCCCTGAATATTACCTTGCGAAAGTTGGGCCTGATTGCGAGGTAGACGATCGGGTTGTAGATTGTGGAGGACTTGGCGAACATGGCCGGTATGGCGAACGCCACAGGCGGGATGTCTTCGATGTTGCCGAAGGAAGCCCACATGGACACCAGAGCGTACGGACTCCACGCCACAAAGAAACCGATGCACACCGCCATGCTGAGCTAAGGACAAAAAGCACACAACACGGAAGTAAATACAATTTTAGGAAGAGCCCCAAAAAATAATAATAATAAATTAGGCAACGATCGCACAAATATTTTATGATGATCAATGGGTTCAATGTTTCGAGGGATTTTATAATGGCTTCTCTGTACCTGCTTTTGGAATGTGGGAGGAAACCGGAGTACCCGGAGAAAACATGCAAACTCCACACAGGGAGGCCGAAGCTGGAATCGAACCAGGTACCGCTACACTATGAGGTCAATGCGCTAACCACTGGACAACCGGGCCGACCACACACACACACACACACACACACACACACACACACACACGCACGCACGCACGCACGCACACACACACCATCTGCAAATTACAGATCTACTAAAGAAATCAAATAGAATTATTGATATGATTGTCTTAAATGTATATGATAAGGACGTCACCCATGAATATAAAAAAATACTGGGCTCAGATGAACTTTTTTTTTTTTTTTTTTATGAGTTGGAGCGTCATTAACATCCCTGATAATAATACTGTACTTTGTACTTTAGCACTGATGTTTAACTGTAAATTATAGAACAACAAGTAGGGGTACAAATCTGATACGTAGAGCAGTGTGAAGGGCGCAATGGCATTTTAATTGACTATTACGAGCAGGGAGAATGTTAGCTAGCCACATGTAAATACCACATGCGAAAGGATTATTACTACTGCTACATATTTAGTCATATTAATTGGGCAATGCTTTAAATTGGCTTATGCATTCTAGGAGTTTCTAGCAATAACACATTTCAACACCATTGTATTGAAAGTGCATTTTGCAATGACCTGGCATTACGAGGATTCCTGTCTTTCACCATTTTATCATCATCTATGAATTGTGTTCTTTCATTTAACTCGACTAAAATATTGAAAAACGGTATTTGTCCCTTCACCTTGATAATGACGATCTGGATGCGGCTCATGTGCATGTGTCTGGACCCATGATGCTCCATGGTCTTGTGCGATGCGTGCACGGTGGCGAGGATGCCCGCGTAGGACGCCAGGATGAGGCCGCACGGAAGGATATAGCAGAAGAAGAAGAGCGCCACGGTGTAGGAGCGCGCCGTCGGCAGCCGATTGGACAGGCGCCAGTCGATGCAGCAGGCGGTGCCGTAGGGCTCCGGTCCGTACTCGCCCCAGTGGCCCAGCGGGCAGCAAGCGAACAACAACGCGTAGAGCCAAGCGCAGGCCACCAGCAGACGGCCATGAATGCAGCTGAATCGGTTTCCTGTGAACGTAGATTAATTAGTGCAGGTTAGAGCCTGAACACCCGAATTGGCACCCATCCCCTAATTCCACAACTGTCCACTTGGGGGTGCTGTTTTCCTACAGTCATATTATTTGATAGCGCCCCTGAAGACCTCTGAGCTGCTTTTGTGATTTTGTTCAGTAACTGCCAAGTAAACAAATCACTTTGACACTTTCACACACCGATGATGTAACATCAACATCATACGTCGAGGTTCATACGTCGAGAAATTTCATCTGTGCTGTATGTTACACATAGAGCACATTTGACAATAAAGTTGTACTTCATACTTGATGCTTGTATTCTGTTTGAGAATCCTGACAGGATGAATCCAATCCAACGAATCATCAAATTAATCATGTGTGTCATCTGCTAAAAACACACTTTGGCCAGCGCACTTACACAGTTAGCTTGATCATGCTTCACGTCCACTCAATTTAAGCCGTCTGTGCCCCCAGCTGGGAAACAGGCAGTTTCTTGAGGTCAAACAGAGGGCTCCATTGCAGCGCATTAAGCAACATCACAAGCTATATTCATCGTGTGCAGTCCAGCGGACTCGTGGGTCATCAAAGAGAAGGCTTAACGTGCGGCTCTCAGTGGAGGGATTAGGGTGAAATTAACAATGGGCCATTTAGGGATGCCGCTTGTGCATCTTTCTGTGGCCGAGCCTGTTCGCTTTGAAGACTTACCATACAGTGGGTAACACACTTTGACAAAGCACACCATGCTGAACAGGGTGAGGGTGCTCAGACTGCAGATGCCGAACAGCATGCCGCAGAAGGCGTAGATTGAGCACACCGTATTCCCGTACAGCCACCTGCGAGGGAGGTGTGAGGGCGTGGGAAAAGGAAAGTGAGGGAGGGAGAAAGAACACCTTTTTATGCTGACAGAAACAAACAGAGGGATCAGTAACGTAGGAAAAGTGCATTAGCATGGTACTCGGTAGTGTTGTCGTGAAAACCACAATTAGAAAAGTCAAAGGTGCCCTAAAACTGTAATGGGCAGCATTTTCACAGCCTATCTTTGTTCGGCGGAAAGGTCGGAGCTGTTGGACAGTCTGCGGCTGGGTGGATGCATGGCTTTAGGAGCCGACGATGAGAAGATAAGAGCGTCAGCGCAGAGCGCTGATGCGTTTGTGGAACTGGGAGTCGCGGCTTGGAATTGAGGCGGATTTACATGGGACTGGACATGTGAGCTTTTTTCGTCGATGGACGCTACAGCTTCTTGTTTGCTTTCAGATTTAGCTTGTAGCAGACGTGTGCACATTTTCAGCATGACGTCTTTGATCCACTGGTGAAAAGGACACTTTGATTAGCTTCTCTTTCATCTATAACTGTTTCAAACAACAAAGTGTATGCACGAAAAGTGGTTAAGATTGGACGACTGTCTGTGTCTTATGTGTTGTGTTGTGTTGTATTATTTTGTCATTTTATGTGAACTGTCCTTTTGATGGCGGTGCGGGCACCCGCAGCGGTTCCTCTTGTTGTCTTGTTGTCTGGTTAAGAGGGAAGAAATTTCATCTGTGCTGTATGTTGTACATACAGTGCATTTGATAATAAAGCTGTACTTGACTTGAATATTTTCGCCTTTAAGGCATGGCTAATAAATACTGTGGTACTGTATTTTCTAAACTTAATAATAAACACGAATCATGACACGAAGAACGTCCTATCTGGCCGCAACACTCTCTGGTCGCTATGGTAACATTTAAATGTGCCTTCAAAACACGACTCACCCGAGCCGCATATTAGGCAGAGTGGGCTTGGTACGTGGGAATCTCCCGTTGAGATAAATCCGTATTTTAAGTAGTACTCCTGACAATGTCTATTAAATGTAGTGTTCTTTTTCTTGAAAGTCATAAGCTCCTCTTCTGTCTCCTGGCTGGGCCTTTTCCCCTTTCCAAAGAAACTTTCCAAAGACGTTTGTTTTTCACTCATTTTTGAGCTCCTGGTTTCATTTTAGCGGTAACCTATCACGTGACCATGAAGCGCGCATTGACCTGAGTCAAGAGTGACATACTGTAGAAGGATGTAACAGAGACACCGCACACTTCAGAGAGCAGAACGAATACATATCCACATGGTGATTTTCTTCTTTGTCACGTGTGGGGTGGCTCACACTTTGAAAATCAGTTGAGCTCAAAAAAAATAATAAGATAGGCCACGGCACCTGTGGTAGAAGCTGGATGTTATGGCCAGAGGGTAGAGAGACAGCGTCAGGCCCAGGTCGCTGACGGCTAAGTTGATGATGAAGAACTCGGCCGGCTTCAGGAGATGTTTTTTCTTGTAGGACACATACAGCAGAGTGCTGTTGCCAAACAATGAACATATTCCTGCACCGGGGAGGAATCACACAAACGAAACCCAAAAAATGAGTGCCAACCACAGGAGTACTTCAGAATTATTAGTATGACGACCTCAAGATTTTATCATTCATTCTTTGGCAATAAAAAGTGCAGTTCAATTGTAGCTGCGAGCAGCTAACTCTCTCACCAACTTACATCTCACAGAAATTTTCGATTCCAGTGACAGATGCAATACTCATCGATCCCTTGATACGCTGCCACATAATTTATATTAACTGTTCATTTTGAGAAAAAAAACAAACAATTTATAATTTCGTGAATCAAAACAGCAGCATGTAAACAGTCTGTCAGTGTGTAGCATTTCAGATTGATTTATTTGATTAAAAAAAACTTGTTCATAACTGAACCACACTACATTGTGTAAAAACAAGTATGAATAACGCACTAATTGTGAGCGGAATAAAAAAAAAAAAAACATACTGTGCCACATTGGAGATCACACAGTGAGATTATTTTATAGGTAAATATTGTGCAGCAATGTCCCTGTCAAACATGGACATGAATGTGTGTTTCTGACTCACATGGCATTAGATTATTCTATGCAACACACACACTGTATATTTATGTTTGTTTGCTTGCTTGCTTGCTGGTTTGGGAGAAAATGATTAGATATCGCACTGCATATACCTCATACATACTAAACATCCATCTAAACATAATCAAACACAAGTGGTGCCAATATCTATGGTACACGGAAGCAGTCGGACTCCGGCAGCCTTGTTGTTTAGTGCTAGCAGCCAAGCTATTCACAGAGATATTCAAAAGAAAATGAAAAGTCAAATCCATTTAAAAAAAAAAAAAAAAAATTGTAGTCACTTTGACTCACCAAAGAGTGAATACACCACAGCCACGGTGATGTCCAGGGGCACGGGAATATTGGACTGGAATGCAGTTTCGTCATCCAACCGTCCCATCTGAACATGACGACAGCACTGATTTCACAAGCAACTTCAATATACATATACACAAATATGCTTGTAGTGTAGTATTTTTCCATCCAAATTTTACATAATCTGCCTATACAATATTTGCCCTAAATTCAATACATAGTCGGCAAGAGGGGCAAATATACAAGCCAGGGTGTCAAACTCATTCTTATCGCAGGCCACATTGCAATTATGATGTCCCTCAAAGGATGATGATGATATTATTACCCATACAGGACACAACGGCATGTGTATTTCATGTTATGATTTGTATTTTTTTGCAACAAATTTAATTTGATATCAGAAGTCAAAACAGTGTCCAAATATTGAAGTTGACTGCTATAGTTCAATTTAGGAGATTTGGTGGGTGAAAAATTCAGGTTTTATCAGTAAAAAGTTGATAAATTTAAATGCAATTATGTTACATATTTTCTGACGGTAAAAGTGAACAGAACAAATCCGTTTAGTAAAAAAATAAGTCTCGTTCGCGTTAACGGGCCGCATAAAAATAAATAAATAAATAAATAAATAAATCATGTGCTGGGCCGGAAATGGCCCCCGGGCCTTGAGTTTGACCCCAGTGGGATACAGCATACATGACTCGTATTTTCACATCAAAAATAGAGTTTGAATTTAAAAATGACCGCAATTTGGAAAACTCACCAATATCAAATCAAACAAAACCTACATATTATATTTGATTGATGTATACTGCCATGGTTGCCCGGATGTAGTTATGGTGATGTTATGGAGGGGGAAAAAAGCATTTAACAATGTAAAAGTAAAACTACATATTGTAAATAAGATTGATGTGTGCATTTTTTTCTCCTAAAAAAATGAAAAACATCTCCAAATAAGTGACAAACTTGCTTGTTTTCACTTGGTTAAAAGACATTATCAACCCGTGTCACAGAGTTGAACCACCTGTCAATCATTTTAGAGGCAAACTGTTCAATACGTCAAGTCTAAAAACAAAATGGGGTATCGGTAATTATTTCCCCCTTAAAACAAATTCATAACACAAGTAACACCAAAAAAAAAAGTGCTCCTTCTTACCTTATGTCTTCATTGACGTTTTAATCGGACCTAATTAAGTTCCTCAATCAATTAGGGAAAAGACAAATGTTGCTGGAGGGGCGGGTGACGTCTTGGCACCAAAAAGTGTCCCGGATGTGCTGAGAAGCAGTTGGGACAGCATTTGATCGTCGGATGCTATTGACACACAGGAGCAAGAGAATGTGATAGAGAGGCTCGTCTGCTCTCCAGAGAGCTTCTCAGCAACCCCCCTGCTAAGCCACCCCCACCTGCCACCCCCTGCCTTCCCATGTCCCCACCCTCCACCGTGCTGCCCACACAATTCAGCATGTCGATGCCAGTAGCAACATCCCCTCTCTTTAATACTGTACATCAGTGATTCCCAATTTGGGTGGGGATGCTACAGGAAATGTAAACTATTCAGTCTGTCCTCAAATTTTTTTTATTGATTTAATTTAAATAAAAAGTAGTTTTCTAAACAAAATCGACAGTGAAATTAATTTTAAATGCTTAACAGACCGAAATCAAAGGTATGGGGGTAAAAAAAAAAAAAGTCAATGTTTTTAACTTGGATTTAAAAGCACTTCACTTTTGTAAGCAGGTTATTCCATTTGAGTGCAGCATAACAGCTAAATGCCGCGTCATCATGTTTGTTTTGAAACTTGGGCTGCATTGATTGATCCGAGTCCGCAATAAGGAGACAACAATGAGGTCTACTGAAAATAAAAGCACGGATACATTTCTTCTGGTCTGCTTGTGCTTCATCTAGTTTTAGGACTGTTCCATTTAATCCCACCCAAGCAAGATATTCTTATAATCAGTGTTCAATATTATATCATTTAGTAATTCAATAAGATAACTTGACCTCAAGATACATAACTATTTAAAATTGCGACAGGTTTAAATCCTGCATGGCGCTGATCTGCTAAGAAGCAGGTTAGATCTGATGTTGGTCGAATTGCAGTCAAGCGCAGGATCTGAAAGCGGGTGGTGTGCACGCTTGTGGGAGTGGTCACAGCAAACTTCAACCATCGCCAATCAAAGTGTCTTCTTTCTGTCCAACCATTCTCTTTAGCTTTCATTATTCCATCCATCCCTCCATTTTCTATCCACTTTATCCTCACAAGGGTCGCGAGGGGTGCTGGAGCCTATCCCAGGTGTCTTTGGGCAGTCCTGAACCGGTTGTCAGCCAATCGCAGGGCACACAGAGACGAACAACCATCTGCGCTCACACTCTCACCTAGGGACATCTGTGAGTGTTTAATCAGCCTGCCATGCATGTTTTTGGAATGTGGGAAGAAAGCGGAGTACCCGGAGAAAACCCACACAGGCATGGGGAGAACATACAAAATCCACACAGGAAGGTCCGGAGCTGGGATCGAACCCACGACCTCTGCACTGTGAGGTCGACGAGCTAACCACTCGGCTGGTCCACCCTCTATAGCTTTCAATGGCGTGCATTAGCCATGAAGTCGGCACATGGAATAGAGTTACAATGCAGATCTGCTTACCTTATGGCTTTGTTGTGAGAGCAGTACATTTTCCATACAATGTCCACTTGACAGATTTCAGGAAGATATCTAAGAAGATGTGTTTAAATGAGGATTATTTGTACTGTGCTTTTGTACTCCCCCCCCCCCATTACTGTTGCAGATTATTTTCTGACAATGTCGTAACACAACTCTTCCAAAATGCTGCTGATTGATCTCCATGCATCATCTTTGAATTTCTATGACCCTGAATGATTTTACCACTGAAGCTATTCATTTAGTGAGTTCCACGATGGCCTCATTTTACCACGTGCTGGACAAAAACAGCCACGGGCAGGTGCCGCTGATGTAACCAGGCCTCTTTGAGGAATGGCACTAATTTACAATGCGCCGTTTTACCCGATGTGTGGGAAGTTGCTCAGTGAAAGGGCCTCAAGCACAATAACAACTGGATGTCTGTTGTTTGTTGAGTGGAAGCAACATACTGTATTGCCATGTTTGCACCAGGTTGTCCGTATCGGCATGCAGCGGGTTCACGTAGCATGAAGATGGCCGGCACGGTGAAGATGCTCTTACGACAACGACAAACTAGTCTGTAATCAACAGCATTAAAGAGGAAGTCAAGACCAAAATCTTTTTGTTCTTTATATATATAGCTATCTATATATCTATTGATATATATAGGCGGCCCGGTAGTCCCGTGGTTAGCCAGTCGACTTCACAGTGCAGAGGTACCGGGTTCGATTCCAGCTCCGGCCTCCCTATGTAGGTTTTCTACGGGTACTCCAGTTTCCTCCCACATTCCAAAAACATGCATGGCAGGCTGATTGAACACTCTAAATTGTCCCTCGGTGTGAGTGTGGGCGTGGATGGTCGTTCGCTTTCACGGGACAAGCGTCGAAAATAGATAGATAGATAGATAGATAGATAGATAGATAGATAGATAGATAGATAGATAGATAGATAGATAGATAGATAGATAGATAGATAGATAGATAGATAGATAGATAGATAGATAGATAGATAGATAGATAGATAGATAGATAGATAGATAGATAGATAGATAGATAGATAGATAGATAGATAGATAGATAGATAGATAGATAGATAGATAGATAGATAGATAGATAGATAGATAGATAGATAGATAGATAGATAGATAGATAGATAGATAGATAGATAGATAGATAGATAGATAGATACACAGACACTTTTGTTCTTCTCCCTTTCATATCCTGCTGTAAATTGGGAATTTCTCCATTGTGAGACAAGTAAAAGTTTTCTTGTCTTATCTTAACTAAGCATTCTGATTAGTTCGTATATTTGTGGAATATGAGTTCAGCAGTAAAATCCACCTCTTTTTGTTCATCTCAGTGGGCGGCCATTTTGCCACTTGCTGTTGACTGAAAATTACATCACAGTTACTCAAGAGCGTGGCAAAATGGCCGCCCTCTGAGATGGCTAAAAACGGGTGGATTTTACTGCTAAACTGATATCCCACAAATGCACTCTGACTCCAAATGCGGTGTTTAAACTAGTGAAGGCGCATAGAACATATTATTGTAAAGAACATTTGGGGGGGGGGTCTCGACTTCCCCTTTAAGCTTAACATTCCAAATTGTTGTGGTCATCTGTGCCACCATGGATGACTATCCTCGAGCAGCACGTCACAGTTTCAACAGGTTTATAAAACACTTTTCCTTCAAACTCATGTTCAGAGTACGCAGACGTATCGGCTATAGTACGGCTTCATTTACATATAGATTAAAGCTCAAATTGAAAGCAACGTCCCGTCATGGCAGTGCTCAGGCAAGTGTTTAGCGGCTCCACTGAACTATCCTTCAGTGTGAGCTGGAATAACAAATTATTATTCTAGAAGTCAAGTGGAATGGACATTGATTTCTCATCTGTTTGCTCCTCCAATCACGCCAATTGCATGCTCAAGCGTAAGCACGCGAACGTCAACTCATGGCAGCTACCTCTTTGACATGTAGATGGTTATGTCAGCCATCTTTTTCTTGATGACCTGCATAAGAGGCCTCCCCCATAACTAGTACATTGGTCATTCCACAATAAAAGGACTTCCGAGGAAACATAAAATGTCCATCAAATCACCACTTACGGTGATTACATTGAGATATAGATTCATCCATCCACCCATCGATTATCTGAGCCGCTTATTCTATAACGAGGGTCTCACTGAAGCGCTCATTTAATTAAAAAAAAAAGTCAACTCTTCGCGAAAGACCTGGCAATTGCAAATTAGGTATCTCTCCACAAATTTATTGAAAAGTCACAAAATCTGTCAAATGTTGTTATTGTTGTTTTTTTTCCAGTTGTCGATAAAGTAGGTCATATCTGTAGATGTCATTTGTAGTTAAATGTCACGTGAAAGAAAATTGAGGGAAACAATTGGAAAACAGGTTTTGGATAGAACATCAGTATAAACAACTCACCACTTTATTTTTTTCAGGCCATTCTCAGGGCAGTGAATCGATCCAAACTGGAGTGTTGTGGTTTTCTTCGGTCTTGGGAGACAATCAATTCTTAGAAGCCCAAAGAGAACCACAACAGGCCAGTTGTAATCAATTCATTGTCCTCACAGTGAAATGACCTGAATGAGAACTCTTACAGGCATTTTTAGGTCACCTCTCTCTCTCTCTCTCTCTCTCTCTCTCTCTCTCTCTCTCTCTCTCTCTCTCTCTCTCTCTCTCTCTCTCTCTGTCTGTCTCTGTGTGTCTCTCTCTCTCTCTCTAATATTTAATAAAAAAAAATTATATGTATTTTGGTTAAAACTTGTGTCTGCTTTAAAAAAATCTTTTGTTCCATCTATAAAGCAGAATCCATCCATCCATTTTCAACAGCGCTTATCCTGAAGGGGGTCGCGAGAGTCGCCGGAGCCGATCACAACTGACTCCGGACGGAAGGCAGACTACACCCTGAAGTGGTCGCCAGTCAGTCATATAGAGACAAACGACCATTCACACCCACATGCACACTGTCACTGAGTGGGAACCGATCACACGCTGCCCGCACAAAAGACCGGCGAGTGTACCACTACACCATCAACAACTAAGGCAGAATTTCTCTTTAAAATAAGTAATAAATAGTTTAGAAATATTTTTGATCATGTTATTTTAAGATCATGTCATATCGATAGATTTGCATTTCTAAGTCACATCCTGTATGTTGTTGCAACTTTTTTTCTTTCTATATTTTATTTCCTACCTTGATTGAATTTCTATTGAAAGACACAACATGATAAAACAACCAACCCCCAAAAAACTGCCAGAACAATACGTTCGCAGGCACGTGCAGGGGCGTGCAGACACACAAGTCATTCAGCAAAAAGTAAAGGAAGCGCATCAGTTCAGCTCCATTAGATACATCTCTGTGCCGAGCTCATATTTAAGTGATATAAAGCGTGGTGCCCCAAAATATCAATAAGTAATCAGCAACATCCAAAACAACCATTCAGTTTGCATGAATTTGAGGGCCGACTATGTTGGCGCCTGCTTTGGCCCACTTACAAAATACAAAAGTTTCAAAATCGATCAAGAAAAGTTGATTCGGAGATGAAAGTTTTAAAGGTTAAAAAAAACAACAAACCACACGAAAGTCTTCCTCCTTACTTGGAACGAGGCTTTCTACTAATCATTTCTAGCACCTTTCAAGTTTTGGCCACGTCAACAGAGCCAAAATGGAGCCCACAAAGCTTCACGATTACAAGCGGGGCAGCTAAACATGTAGACAGACAGTACAATAATACAGTAACCGACCTCCATTGGGAGTTATTTTCCAGACTTCTCCCGCCAATACTGAAATCCGCGATATAGAAATAAAACAAAAAAAAAAAAAACATTTTTAAATACTAAGGGAGTTTTTATAGCATTTACAGCACTTATTTTTTAGTTCTTGAAACACTTTGCAAATAATACAAAGGTACTGTACTGTTTTGTGTAAAAAAAATAATATGTTGAGTCAGAGGCGACACTATGGTCGAATGGTTAGCACGTCCGCCTCACAGTGCAAAGGTACAGGGTTCAATTATGGGCCTTGGCCTTCCTATGTGGAGTTTGCATGTTCTCCCCTTGCCTGCGTAGCTTTTCTCCGGGTACTCTGGCTTCCTTGTACATTCCAAAAGCACGCGTGGCAGGTTAAAAGAACTCTCTAAATTGTCCCTAGGTGTGAGGTTGTTTGTGTAGGCGTGTTGTGCAACTAACTGAATGGCAACCTTCAGGGGTGTACCCCGCCTACTGCCCAAAGACAGCCGGGATAGTTCTCCAGCACGCCCGCGACCTTCGTGAGGAATTTCAAATGAAGAGAAAATATACTGAGCTGGCATTATTAAAAACTGTTAAAAAGAAAGTAATGAACAAAACAAAACATTAACATGACATTTAAAGATTTGTTAGAGATAGCAGAGCCCGGGAAGCCATTTGAAGTGATTGTATCACTTTGACCCTTTAACAATCTGTCAATTATTCACCTGCTGCGCATGACTTACATCTCATGAAAATCTCATCATGTACCTTACACTAAATGAGCGCTCACAACGCCGTCGATGAACATTATTGTTGGACATGGCTGGAGAAACATCCACGGGTGTATCATTGGCTCTGCACATCGCGTGTTTGCTGTGTGGCGCCGCACTGTGCATGGTGAGAAAATGACATGAAAGAAAGAAATGACATGTATTCATGATTTTAACATTTACATTTTTTTTTCTGGATTTCTTCAGCCTACAGAAATAATACAAGGTAAGTAAGGGACAGTAAAGGAGTTCGCAGAGTGTGAGTGTGTATTTTTTTTGTTTTAGTTTTTATCACTAACCTAACATGATATTTTATTGCAGACTTTGATGTGGATGGTGGCCGAGATTTGGATATTTTTGAAATCAATGAAGGTACGTGCGGGAAAGCCGGAAAAGATAATCGCTAAAATTCTTCCAATTTTGAAGCTTCATTATTGTGCTTTGGCCGTACAGAAGCAGGATTAAATCTGGTAGAAGGCGACATTGTGCTTGGCGAGGTTTGTGGTCCTCATTAAATAATATTATTATTCATACTGTAATGAAGTATCATGTTTTACTCTCACGTGCTTCTCATTTCTAACCAACAGAAGCAAAGTCGGAACTCCATAATAGGCGAAAAGTACCGGTGGCCCACGACCATCCCTTATTACATGGGGGATGACCTTGGTGAATTTTTTATTTTATTTTATTATTATTGTGCTCGTAGTTTGCACTGTATCATTCTGAAAGCTGTTGCTAATCAGGTCAGTAAAATACAGTGGAATGCTTATCACAATTTGTGGGGATTTTTTTTTTTTTTTTTTTTACGGAAAGCACACCCTCGACCGCGGCACAACTATGTGTTTGGGAGAGTGGTTGTCATACACAGATGCATGATTGGGGATAGAAGGTGGTCTCCAACGGCGGCCAACTTTTGCCATTTGCAAATGGAGATCTTCTTGCCTGCAGTTACTTTTAAATGCACTTTGAACGCGCCGATCTCCTGCATTTCAATGCTGCACAGACTACACGACACTTTGCGATGAATTTAAAGGGAATGAGGGGAGCTGCTTCTATTGGATGGCAAACAAGTCGTCTGCGTTCCCTCCCACAACGGCGCAAACGCCTCCTTTGACTCGCACCCATATAGGAAAACATCAAAAGAAAGAAAACTCAAGCCATGTGCATAGTTCGACTGCGCTTGGTGCGAAACTTGCACTGGGCCCAAAAATAGAGCCTATTTAGTCTACGATGGATGAATTTACTTGGACGTCAACTAGTCTTGCTGCGCTGTGTTGGACTTCCACTAGATTAGACACAGCTTTCAGTATGACAAAAGTGCATACATGCAGGATAGAACATTTCTTTGGTTTGCATTTTTTCGAGTGCAGAAATCAATGCAAAAGGTGTGATCCTGAAGGCTTTTGAGCAGTACCGCCTGAAGACCTGTATTGACTTCAAGCCGTGGAGTGGAGAAGCAAACTACATCGGTATCTTCAAAGGCAGCGGGTGAGGCGCTAGCACAGCACTGTCAAACTTGATTTACTGTGAGCCATATCTTAGTTATGGTTTACTTGAGAAGTATGAACTTCTAAATTTGAAGATTTCTTTTATTCCCTTCTATTTGTGATTTAAATAATGAATGCTTTCCTCGCGTTCTTGAAGCTGTTTCTCCTCGGTGGGCAACCAGCGCATCGGGAGGCAGCGGCTGTCCATCGGTAAAAACTGCGACCGCATCGCCACCATCGAACATGAGTTCTTGCATGCTTTGGGGTTCTGGCACGAGCAGTCCAGAGCGGACCGGGACGACTACGTGCAAATCATGTGGGACCGAATCTCAGAGGGTAAGCTACAGCCGCATTATAGACAATATATATGATATTAGTCATTCTTCAAATAGACTATTTTATAAGTTTTACCACATTTTAACTTTTTGGAGGAAACCCATCTATGAATCTGTTCATTAAAAAAAAAAAATCAAAAGTCTGCATCTGCCGGTCGAAGTCATGCACAGAAGTGGTCACAATGCAGGACGCATTATTAGGGACATTGTAAAGTAACAAGACAATGATGTGCATTTTTAAATGTCACTGCCAGAGAGGTATTAATTGAACAATATTGTCATTATTAAATGAGGATGTGTAGAAATGTACTGCATCTAACATTTGGATTGCTTTATATGTTGACAATAGTCAAAATATTAAAAACAGCTCTCAGAATGATGTAGTGGATTTTTCTACACCATGGCTACCTGCTAGCAACATACTACTGACGCTAATAACTAAACCCTTTTTATTATATATATATAAATACAGTATATATATATATATATATATAGATATAGATATATATATCTATCTATATCTATACATATATATATATCTATATATATGTGTGTGTGTGTGAACCTTTATACTTATATAAAGAGTGTGAGAGGGAGAGAGAGAGAGAGAGAGAGAGAGAGAGAGAGAGAGAGAGAGAGAGAGAGAGAGAGAGATGTCACTGCACTGCATTTACACGCAATTATTAAAACAATACAAGTGTTAGCAGCGTGCTCAGCATGATGCAAACTGCTGTGAGCAGATTGATCAATTTATATTGCAAATCATTAAATTATACGAGAAGGAAACACCCGTTGAGTATTGTACTTTGTTGTGGGCAATCGTTCATCACTTTTAGTGCTTAAGTGATAAAAGTGTTGTTGTTGGTGTGCGATAAACAAAGCCACGTGGCACAACTGCACCACCATTTGCCCATGAAATCATCAATAGCTGCTGTTAGGGTGCATATAACTTTGATTAATTGTCCTATCAAGCAATAGAAATATTCATGACACGTGCATACACGGTGAGTGATAATAATAAAAAGTGAACACACCCCTGTTTGAAGGCGAGGGATTTTGTCATATAAAAAAAGGAAGCAAGACAAATCATTTCAAAACTTTTTCCGTCTACATTCTTTACAAATCAAGTGAAAGTTGGTTTTATTGGATAGTTACATATTTTCCCATTTACGAGATTTCAAGTGTGTTTTGGTCAAATGTAAGCATGCAGGCATGGATGTTTTTCTTCGGAAGATAAGCTTTCTGTCTTTCCCATAATCCAGACATACGAAGTAGACGGGAGACTGTTGTCACATGTGCTAAGAAGCCAGTATTTGCCAGAAATTCCTGCAGCTCCTTCACTGTTGCCTACCTCTTCGCAGTCCCCCTGATGACAAATTGGGGCCCCCGTCAGAATTGAAGTTGCCCATCAATGCTATATTTAATTCCTTGGAAATTATTTTGTATCCTATTGCTGACTGATACCATTGAGCATCTCTCTGCAGACGATGGCTTGTGCTGTAAGATGTGATGACAAAAATGTCAGGAAAAGCCTATGAGAACAACTGAACTTTATTTGGGTTCAATCAGAGGCCCTCTAAATGATGACAGGGGTAGGTAGATTCTTATTTAACATACTGTAAGTTTGAATGTGGGTGGTTAATAAAGTATTTTTACTTACCCCTCTAAAAATTTTTGTTTTTAATTGTAGATGTGATAGGTAACATTCATGGTGGCGGTAAAAAGTACCGAATTGAAACGACAAAAAAAAAAACAAAAAAAAAAACGAGCATTTGAACAGAGGTGTGTCGACTTTTTATAACCACTGAATGAATTTAAATCACCAGTCTTGTTTTGTGCGGCATCCAGGCCGAGAGCACAACTTCAAGATCCACAACGACACCACCTCCAGCTCACTGGGCGTCCCCTACGACTACGGTTCCATGATGCACTACAGCAAGACGGCCTTCCGCAACGGCTCCGAGCCCACCATCGTCACCAAAATCCCCGCCTTCGCCGACGTCATCGGCCAGAGGATGGAGTTCAGCGACAGCGACCTCCTCAAGCTCTCCCGCCTCTACAACTGCAGTGAGAAGAATGGCTTTTATTGTCTCGTTGTGGCTGCTGTTCGTGAGCCGATTGACATTGACCTGACAAGATGGCGTTACAGCCGTTCACAGCCGTGACTTCGTCTTGCAGCTCGGGGCTCCACTTTTCTGGACTCGTGCGACTTTGAGCAGGAGAACATCTGCGGGATGATTCAGGGGCCGGGCGACCAGGAGGACTGGCACAGGCTATCCAAGGCGGCAGGCGGGCCCGACACGGACTACTCCAACATGGGCAAATGCACTGGTGAGAGGAGGCCCGTAGAAAATCAGTCTACTAAGTATAAATATGCCCGACGTCAGTAATATGTCATTTTTATTTTATTGAATATCGTTAGGTTCTGGCTATTTCATGCACTTCAACACGAACGGGGCCAACCCCGGTGACACAGCCCTTCTCGAAAGCCGAATCCTGTACCCCAAGCGAGGTTATCAATGTCTGCAGTTTTTCTTCTATAACAGCGGCGGCCTCAACGATTCGCTCAAGATCTTTGTGCGGGAGTACGACAAAGCTCACCCTGCTGGGACACTGCGCTTGATCACCACCATTGACGGTTAATATCACTCACTCTCTTATATCTGTGCAAACTTGGTCAGAGGTGTGGAACCGAAGGCCTGTGGGCCAAGTTTCGTCTGCAAGAGAAATTCGATCTGGCCTCAATGTGACGATGCTGCTTGAGGGAAACGTCAAAGTCTGGAATTGTCTTCCTTTGTCGTTTCAGACATGGGTTTCTCATCATAGCAGGCATGTGACTTTAAAATGTGAGAGATCGTACTACATGTGTGATTATTTGGCCAACAGCAACAAGACACTTGAAACTGCTTTAAAAACCGTGAAAACATTGAATCCCCAAATACATGCTCATGAAATGGGCCCCCAAAAGGAAGAAGGCCCCCACCCCTGGGTGGTCTTAGATGCTCCTTAATAACTAAGCTCATTTGATGTAACAGGACCCCCTCAGGACCTGTGGCAGCTGCACCACGTCAGGCTAAACGCCACAAAGAAGTTCCGCGTGGTCTTCCAGGGAACCAAAGCAGGTGCGGGACCATCTGCAGGTGGACTGTCTCTGGATGACATCAACGTTTCGGAGACATTGTGTCCCGAGTTTGCATGGCGCGTGAAGAATTTCAGCCACGTGATGGAGAACACCCCTGTGGACACGGCCATCTACAGCC